GTTACAGAAGATGCAAAGTGACTTCCAGTTTAGTGTCTGTGTTATGTCTGGTCAGTGCACATTTCTTCACTGAAGGTAGACAATGAGTGACTGACTAATGTGACACTTTCCGAACCCCTATCACCTTACAAATATTCTGAAGTGCATGCGTAATGCACAAATCACCTTAGTAACCTCATCGAGCATCCTAAATGTGGATGTTTAGTTGCATCTCCGCATACCAGACGCCTGAAGCGGGTAACTTGGTCTTGTCGGCTCGAGTATGACCCCTTGTATCGCCTTAGATGACTGGTGTTAGGATTTCTGTCTCAATGTTCTGGTCATTGCTCAGTGAAATGGGCCAATATCACATCAAAGCTATTATTTGACTCCTCATAAACCTCAAAACGATAAAACTCGAGGCTGAATGATGAGGCGCAGACAATATGACCAGTACTGACAATGGAACTGCGGTGATTCAAAGGGCTCCAAGTGGCTTAAGAGGTTGGCAAAGCTAGACACTCTAGGCAGGTTGAGTCGGTGTGACTAAACACCACTGTACGTTGCTTTGGAGGCGTTCCTTGCCATGATGCAGTCGTACAAGCCCAGACGGAGGCTGAAACTAGCAAGTAGGTAACAGCACACAGCGAGTAAAACTACAAGCACTTCAAGTTAACAGACTTTATACAGCCAATCTAAAAGCATCCCAGCGTTTGTACAAATTCCCCATCGCTCGCGCCTCAGGCAAAGTCGAAGGAGGCAAATTTTTTGCGCATCTCGGTAGCCAGTTGAGTCTCCACCTCTTCGCTCTCTGTGCACTCCCGCCAGTTCACTCGTTCAGGGCAATTCAAAATGGCCTCGGAGGCCAACACGGCGCTAGAAATGAGAGCGAGGAGATACACAAGTGAGAGAAGTTACCAATAAGCCCAAATAACACTGTTTCGAGCCTACAAGAGATTATAGGGGAAAAGTAGTTAATTCTTGGGCTAAGAAATAAAGGCTGCGATTTTGAGTTCAGTTAATCAGGCTAACAATTGTGAAATTGAGAGAGCAACATTTTGCCATTAAAGTGGCATGTGCTACCTAAGTTTGTGTAAATTTCCTCAGAACTGGTTCCAATGACCCACTTGCCAAATGCTACACACAGCATAATTGAGCATTTCAAAGTTAAGGATGCTTTCTTTAGAAAATCTGCACAGCATACCGGCCAAAATTGACGTCCGACGAAGAGACTCGATCCCTCTCAATCTTGTTAAACAGTTTTTCTCCAGTCGGGAGCTCAACGTAGAAGTAAGGGATGCCCGGCTTGCAGAACTGAAAGGGAAGAGATCACAGTGATGAACCAGTGGAAAGCGCAAGCATTGAGGAGAATCGTGGTTGCACACCCACGTCACTGATTGACGACGACCTGGGCAGAGGTTCCAGTTTGCAAGGCGAATTGGCCAGACTCTCAGACATTTCGAGGAAAGCTTTCTTCACTTCCCCTGCCACGGCAAAAGGCACCGGCACCACCTAAAAAAAGTCGTGTATTGCAAAATACGGGAGCAGCAAAAAAAAAAAAGGACAAATGAGTGCTTTGAACCTCAAACTTATGGTAGAACGGACTTGGGAAATG